GCAGTGGTTGGTTGCCTTGAAGACCGTCGCGTGGAGCTAACGACGTTTTACTTTAGTCCCGAGGCGGACCTTTGGTGGGTCCATGAAGGTCCAGCATGCCTTGAGGAACCGGGGTTTGATTGGTCAGTGTTGAAAGACAAGCTCCGAGAAAGGTTTTATCCGGCGCATATAAGGGCGGCTATGTATGAGGAGTTCCTCCACTTGAAGCAAGGGACCCTGTCCGTAGTGGAGTATCATAAGCATTTTCTTGAGTTGGCCAGATTCGCGCGCGTGTTGGTTCCCACTAAGGCTGCCAAGGTGGATAAGTTCGTAGCAGGGCTCAACTATGAGGCAAGGAAGGCTTTGACGGTGAGCAAACCAAGGACGTTCAATGAGGCTTATTTGAGTGCCGTGGACTTGTATCGAGTTCAGCAGTTGCAAAGAGGGTCTTTTGACTCGGACAGGAGAAGGGTGGAAGGTAGCGGGCAACAGAGCTTTAAGAGGCCAAGACAGAGCTTTTGGAGTGGGCCATCCTCCCCACTAACTCAGGGAACGGCTAAAGTGGACAATGACGAGAAGGGAAAGCCTTTCGGATGCCGAAGATGTGGTAGGAACCACATTGGAAAGGACTGCCAAGGGAATCCGTTGCTTTGTTTCAAGTGTGGGAAGAGAGGTCACAAGGCCTTCGATTGCAACCTCTAGCCGGATCAGGGAGCTCCACAGTCTAGTGCAAGGAATGCACCGTTGGGACAGACAGGAAATGGATTCAATCGTGGCTCCGGGAATGCGACCTCGGGAGGAGCAAGATCTCAAGGCAAGGTGTACATGATGAGCTGATCGCAGGCTGAAGCTGAGGGTTTGACTAAGGATGAGGCTGCAGGTACTGTTCTCAACCCAACCTTTTTGTCTTTGAGTTGTACCCTTTTTCATGTCCCTTCCTTGCATCTTCCTTTTGGGGTAAAAATTAATTAGGGGAGTTAGTCGTTTCGTTTATGTTGTCAAACTTTAGTTTGAAAACCCAAGAGTTAAAAGATTTAATTTTTAAGCGTAACCTAAAGTCTTTCTTCAACTAAAACCTAGACTTGGGTAATTTTTGAGAAAATCCCTAAGTTTAGAGCTTAAAACCTTAATTTGTAGTTAGGGAGTTTCGAACCCGAGTCTCAAAGTTTCTAACCCAAAATACTTAAACCATCTAGACAAATGGTGATTCTTAAAGCTTATTCCGCTTTAATTCCTTTTAGCGTAGTTCTTTCAACCCAAATTAAAACCCCCAAATTAAAAATCTCTTTTTCCCCATCTTTTCCCCAAAACCCTCCTCTCTCTTCTCTCTTTCCTCCAACCCGCATCAGCCGAGAATCACCCCACCCGTCGCTACCCTCCAGCCCGTTAACAGCAACCACCGCTCGTCGCTGCACCAACCTCGCCGGAATTCGCCACCCGCCGTCGCCGATCCTCTTCGCCGCTGCTACGCCGGAAAGCGCAGGCCGAGAGCAAGGGAAAAAGAAAAAAAAAAAAAAAGAAGAGAAAAAGAAGCAGGGAAATAAGAAGCTTTGGGTCTACCTCACCTTGGACATCTTGCGCCATGCCTAGAAGGTCAAAAACCATAAAGAGAGTGGAATGGGTGGATGCCCATTACTCAGTTTTGGAAAGCAAAGCCTTTGAACCCGAATCTTTTTCAAGCTCCATTTTGGATATGCTTAATATTCAAGATTTTTTGGATGGGTTTTGTTGATTAAGAATGAGACATACCCGGATTTGGTCAAGGAATTTTATCGTCACATGAATGTGACCAAGGATGGGGGAAAATTGGAAATCACCTCTAAGGTGAGGGGTGTTAAGATTTCCTTGAATGAGAATCGGTTGGCAAAACTCCTGAATTTGATGACCACTGGGGTCTCGGAGTACTGTAGGGATGCTTGGGTTAGTATCGAAGATTTGGGGTACCAAGATTATTTGGAGTATCTTTTGGGGCGATCCAGTGGTTTAACCAAGCCACGAGGCCGGAAAAGAAGTGGCTCACCGGGGAGCAAAAGGTTCTGATAATGCTTGTTGCAGATTGTTTGTTACCTAACAATAACAAGAGAAATCTTTTGGGAAATCTGGAATGTGCATTTGCTTATTTCTTGAAGCACAAAGTGAAGTTCAACCTGCCAGCTCTCATGCTACCGCACATGGATTATTGCGTGGATAATAACTTTAAGAGCCTACCATACGGTATGATTTTAAGTTGGATTTTCAAGAAGAAAGGAGTGAAAGTTGAAGGGTCTTTTGCGAAGGCCATTGGCAAAATGGTGTTGGATGCTATGAATCTTTGGAGCTGTAATCTGTTTCAGGTAGAGGACAATGAATACATCACCTTGGAGGAGGTAGCAAAGAAATCCCCACCGGAATGGAGTCTTTTGACAGAGCAACTGGGGGTTTCTGTCAAGAAGTTGAAGCAGACTGTTCAAGAGTTGGGAAGAAATGAAGAAGAGGAGGAGGTAGAGGAGAGCGACTCCGAGGATGAGGAGAACCGCCGAAGGAAAGAAGTGAGGACCAAGAAGGAAAACGGCTCCATGACACACGAGGAACGTGTGTTAGCTCTTCCGAGGCAACAGAACCGGATGATCGAGGAGGGTTTCTCATTTATGAAGGCCTAGTTTGTTACCGTGAATAAGAGGTTGACAGCGTTGGAGGCCAGTTCTAGCCGGGATGGAGATGAGGAAGATCTTGGGTCTGATGAGGAAGCTGAAGAGGACTCGGGGGACGACTCGTCCCAAGCCAAGGAGTGAGGTAATCCTTTCTAGCTTTTGTTTGGCTTATGTGTTATCTGTAGGGGTAGTTGTTGATAGCTGTGAATGTAGGGTAAATTGTGAGACCACGCTTAAAACTTTTCACTAAAGATCAAATAATTTACAAAAACTAAGTCTACCACATATTTTAAACATCAACCTTATACAACAACTTTGTAAGAAAGTTTGAAAATACAATTTGAGCAAATATGACAGTTACACAAATTGTATATCGGATCAATTTTCAAACAATTTAGAGTAGTATCAAGTGGAGCTGCTTCTCCATATGATCATACTCCAATCTGTCACTTTGCTTGAAGTTTCTTCACGAATTTTGTGATTAAAATGTTTGGATTTCTAATCCTAAAACTTCAATTTTTCTTCATTACAAAATTACGCTTTGTGGATCATTACATTTCGCATGCTTCACATAGTGGATCGGAGTAGAAGAAATAAACTTGATTTAATTTCAGCCACAATTTTGTTGAGAGAATGGTGAATCTTCTACCAGTTCTTCTTGTTCTTCTTCTCAATTCCTCGATCAGAGATAGGCTCCATTATGTTTTTGACTGCTTCAATTCAGACTAAAATACAATGAACCAACATACGCCAACAAAATAAAACATGCACTTAATTAATAAATTCATATTAATGACACATTTATAATTTCTTATCATGTTTATCTTTAATATTTTTTCTTTTGTCTATTATATCCTCACTATGTAAAATACAAACACATGCATAAATTAAATATAGGCAAATTATACTATGGACCATAAGGTGTACCTATCATTTTGGCCCCTGGTCAAAAACAACATCTAGGTTATGGGCAAATTATTGTGTGGACCATGGTACACACACTGTTATGTTGGACCATAACAAAAATTACATTTTTAATATACTAAATGTACATTATTTTTGTACTAAATGTACATTATACAATATAATGTACGCTCAGTACCCAAATAATGTACATCACCTGAATATAATGTACATTTTTAATATACTAAAAGTATATTATTTTTGTACTGAATGTACATTATTTTATAGTATACAAAATATGGTCCACACAATAATGATGGTATATTATGTGTCTGCAATTAATATATTATGTGCGTTCAGTTAACATATTTTGTGCCAATAAATAAATCTCAGCTACATAATATATTAACTGCAAACACATAATTTATTATTTGCAGACACAAATTATGTACCTACTACAATTAACATATTACTATATATATTTGCAGGTAATAAATTCAATTTATTTATAAACACAAAATTTGTTAACTTAAAACACATAATATGTTAACTGCAAACACATAAGCTCTGTTTGGTAAAATAGTTAGCTTATAGGCCTATTTTGACTTATTTAATTTGACCACTATTAGCTCTTTGACTTGGTTAAAAAATGAATATAATGTTTGGTTAATTATCTTTTTGTAACTCCAAAATGCTAAAATTCAAAAAACTGTTCAAAGTAACTTTTTTTTTTAAAAAAAAAAAACACTCTAAGCAACTTTTTCAATTAGCTTTTTGAGAAAAAAAAAATTATATCAAACAGCTATCAGCAAACAACTAATTTACCAAATACCTTTCTATAATCAGCTAATGTAATCAACTAGTTATACCCTCTAATTAACACAATTAGTTAATAGCTATCAGCTAATAGTCATTTACCAAACAGGATAATATATATGTTGTTTTGGAGCAATATCCACAATGCAAAATAAACCCTAATTTATGGTATAACATTTATTGGTTACCATTAACATGTCATCTTTGGAAAGGTAATTAGGTTGTACGTCAATTTAATGTTTAGATATTAATTATGTTGGTAAATTTTTTTATTAAAAAATGACCAAAAAAACAAAAAACTTTGCGTGTGCCTTCTGGGAATAATAAAATGAAAGTGAGTAAACGTAACAATGTAAAAAAGGAAGTATGGCAACCAACATAGTTGGCGTGGTGGTTCAGGTTGGAGGTTCGATCTCCACTCATGTGAATGGAGTAAATTATTTGGCTAGTTCCCTATCATTTAGTGTGCTAATTGTTGGGACGAAGGATTAGTCTTTGGCTATCGGCTAGAGAGATATTTTTGGACAACCAAAAAAAAAAAAAAAAAAAAAAAAAAGGAAGTACATTCCTCATGGGTGATGGGAAAATGTGCATTAAAATATCTCAGGAAAAATTACATTTTTCGTCCCTAAATTATAGGGTAATTGTAGAATTTATCTTTGAGTAGTGGTCATGTTCACTTTTCGTCCCTAAGTTATCATTGGCGTTGCACTTTTCATCATTTCGTGATCACTTTTCATCCCTGAGTTACACTAAAATTGCATATTTCGTCCATAATTTTTTATTCGTGATCCTTTTCGTCCATGAGTTATACTAAAATTGTAAATTCATTCCCTAATGTTTTATTAGTAAAGGAATGAAAAGTGAACATGACCAACACTTAGGGCCGATGAATTCTACAATTATCTTATAACTTAAGAACGAAAAATACAATTTTTCCTCCCAATATCTCAAATTATATTTCTCTTTTCATATGTCATTGTTATTGAACACAAAATCCTCTAGCACGTTTGCCTAAATACTACTACTCTATAAAAGCACATATGAATATATGATTCTTAAGGGTTAAAATTTAATTACTCTTCCTCCCTATTACTTTTTATTACAAAATGTAAACATGTAGTATTTGTTCATACAAACTTTTTCAATCTATTATGAAATTTGAACCAAAGACCTCTCATTTAAAGAATCACAGCTATGCTACTCAACCACAAAGCCTTTGGCTCCCTCCCTCTCTATTACTTAGAGTATAGAGAATTCACATTTTTTAAGTAATAGGTCAAAAACAGCACTTGTAGTTGCCAAACCATATGGTTACAAATATTTCTTAAATTGGGTGTATAATAATAAATTTAAATTAATTGATTAGTATATATGACTTATACAAAGCTAAGTAAATTTACTGTATTGAAGTCACCATAATTCACATTTCTACAATCTCGTGGGCCGGGATGTAGGGACTTTGGGGTAAGGGAATTTTCATAAATCACACGATTGAAATACTAGTTATTGTTAATAGCTATTGTTGACTCAAAGTGTTTTGTCAAAGTTATGTGCAAAAAGAATTCCAACTCTATAAAGGAATACCAAGCCTAAGAGGAGTAGTTATTGAAGAATACTAGTTCTAAAGGGAATTGTTATTGAAGTTTTTTCTAGTTCTAGTCTGATTAGGAATAGCTTTGTTATTCACAAATCTGTTAGGAGTAGCTACTATAAATAGGGGTTGTCCTTTATTGTAGAACTCAAGCATTCAACATTAATCTTGTGAGGTACGAGAGTCTTTGAGAATAGGATACTAAATTCCCCTAGAAAGTAGTACATGTGTTTAGGTTTCAATAGTTTGGTAGGAAAGATCATTCTATTGTGTAATCTCAGGTTCCAAACAGTGTACTTTAAATATTGAACTTTTAGTGGATTTAGGCAAGTTCTCAAATTGAGAAGTGCCTCGCAGATTAGGGTTGTTTGCCCGAACTGCGTTACAGATCGTTTGTGTTACAACTTACATTTCAACATCACTGTGTGTGTCGATCCTTAAAATTCTACAATTGGTATCAGAGCGGGCTGCTAAAATTACTAGCAGGATCCTACATTATCCAAAGGAACGACACAATGGATTTTCCCAGAGAAGGTTTATCGAATAGCAGACCCCCAGCCCTGAATAGTGAAAATTATTCCTATTGGAAGACTAGAATGAGAGTTTACATCATGTCCCAAGGTGAGAGAGTGTGGAGAGCAGTAGAAGAAGGCTGGGAACCACCTACTAATGAAAGAGGAGAAAAGAAACTAAAAAGGGAATGGTCTGAGGCTGAAATCAGAGAAGCTAACTACAATTCAAAAGCCATGAACTCTATATATGGGGCAGTGAGTGAAGAAACTTTTAAATTGATTTCTAACACTGAAATTGCCAAAACAGCCTGGGAAATCTTATGCAATCATCACGAAGGCAACACCATTGTCAAACAATCAAAACTACAGATGATTCAAACACAATTCGAAACTTTAAAGATGGAAGAAGACGAAAACATCACACAATTCAATGCAAAAATCCTAGATATAGCTGGAGCTGCATACAATCTAGGAGAACCTTTTTCCGAACCAAAATTGGTTAAAAAGGTACTCAGATCACTACCTGAAAGATTTCTCATGAAAGTCACAGCCATTCAGGAAAGCACAAATCTGGACACATACAAACTAAGTGACCTAATGGGAAATCTCCAGACGTACGAACTGGAAATGCTACAAAGAAAACCAAATGATTCAAACAAAAGTTTGGCATTTCAATCCAAGCAACATGCAGATTCAGATGAGGACACACAAAGCATGGAAGAGTCTATTGTCGTGCTCACCAAGAATTTAAATAAAGTGGTCAAGAAGTTCAACAAATTCAAAAATAAAAACAAGAACTTCTCAAATAACAATGGAAACAACACAAAAAACGAAAAGCCTCAAAATACCGAGGGGATACAGTGCTTCGAATGCAAAGGGTACGGACATATCCAATCAGAATGTCCAACGTACTTGAAAAGGAAGAATAAAACCTTTGTCACAACACTTAGTGACGATTCCGATAGTGAAGATGAAAATTCCAACTTTGTTGCTTTCACTACCAGGCACGAAGAAGAAAATACCTCTCAAGAGGACACACAAGAGCTATTCGAAGCATACACACTGCTGCAATCAAAATGGCACGAACTCATTAGAGTTAATACAGAACTCATGCAAAAGAATCGTGACTTACAAATTGAAAAAGAGAGAGAATTTCGGGAACATCTGGAAACAAAGGAAGAACTAAAGAAATTCCAGAAAAAGGAAGAGGAATTAACAAGGAAAATACAGTCCCTTGAAGAAAATTTGCAGAAAACAGAAAACACTGACAACAGACATACAGAAAACCCAGAGTTGTTACAACATCACTTTCAACACCGAAGGAGAATCAGATGTTACTACTGCCACAGATTGGGACACATAAAGGCGTACTGCTTCAAAAGGCAAAATGATCTCTATCACAGGCAAAACAACAGAGATTGGGCAGCACAAAGCAAAAATAACAGCAAGAAAATCTGGGTAAGAAAAGATCAGAATGTTGCCTACACCTCAAAAACTAGCAAAGAACAAAACGTATGGTATTTTGACAGCGGGTGTTCAAGGCATATGACTGGAAATCCAGAAAACCTAGAAAACATTCAGTATAAGAATGAAGGACATGTTACCTTTGGAGATGGAGGAAAAGGCTAGATCATTGCAAGCGGCATCTTGAATGTCCATGGGCTACCTAGGTTGCCAAAAGTCCTCCTAGTACAAAGTCTAAAAGCGAATCTAATCAGCATAAGTCAACTTTGTGAAGATAAACTCAAAGTAGAATTCTCTAAAGACAATTGCATTGTGTTTAATCAGAATCACAAGTGTGTCATGATGGGTAAAAGGTCCGCAAACAAATGCTATACATGGGATGGTGACCTATCTGGTTTACAGACAACTATCAAGCAAAAACAATCACGGCACCAACATATGAAACACACAAATTCTCATGACATCAAAGGGGACCAAGGAATATTCCTAGGTTATTCAGGTTATTCATCAAACAGTAGGGCTTTCAGTGTAGACAGTACAATGGAATACATGAATGTGGTTATTGATGACACAATTCCAATAATAACCACTAATGTTGACGAAAGTCGCAGAGTTGTTGAAACAACTGTTCCAACACTTCTGACTACTGTTATGCAGAATCACAAAATAGAAACAAAACCAGATGAAGAAAAAGATAAAAGGCAATCTATTGATTTGAAAATTCAGAAAAATCATCATTTAGAAAAAATCATAGGGGATCTCAATCAAAGAATCAAAACCAAGAGAAAGAAACAAGATTACCTCAAAATGGACGAAGAAGATTATTGCTTCACCACCAGGTTTGAAACAAAGAATATTGATAAAGCACTAAGAGATGAATTATGGATAGAAACTATGCAAAAGGAACTACAACAGTCTGAAAGAAACAAAGTCTGGGAATCAGTATCTAAACCCAAAAGATGCTAATACTATTAGAACAAAATGGATAAGTGTTGACAAAGCACTACTTGTTAAGCACTATGGAAACCAGATGGATTGGAAAAGGGGTAGTAAGACCAGTAGATGTGTTGGCACACAACCTGTTCGACAGAATGTCAAACTGGGCTCTGCTCATCTGTTTGATCTGAATGCAAGGCTAAACTGTGAGGCTGATGTTGAAGAAGTTGCGATAGGCTTGATGAATGAGATAGCTGAAACTGTATTGAGTGAGGTAGCATTCGTAGAGGAAGCTAGGCAGAAAGTGCTCCTTTCCTTTGACCATACACGATCAGATAGATCATCAGAAATCAAATCGGGGGATAATTGAAGACTTGTTCCCGGAGATTGATCAAATTAGCGAAGAAGGTAACAAATCTATATCTATTTTTGCGACTGGTGAGACTGCCAGATTGAAGGAAAACTCTCCGATTGTGACAATCTCAAGCGGGGAATGGGAGGACCTAGTGAAATCGAAGGAGAGGATCGCTCTGGTGGGGCGTTTTTGCGAGAGAGCGTTCGCCTTTGGACCGCCTTAGGGCGGGGCTGATCAGAGAGCGATCGAAAAGAAAAATTTCTTTTTATAGCTGTCAAGAAATCAAGAAAAGAATGATGAAGTCAAAAAAAAAAAAAATCAAGACAGCACTCATCAGATAAGAGAGATACGTGGAATCAATTAAGGGGGAGAAAAATCATAAATCAAGCCACTATGAGATCAAGATTTTTGCCAAAAATTTGACAAAGGGGGAGATTGTTGACTCAAAGTGTTTTGTCAAAGTTATGTGCAAAAAGAATTCCAACTCTATAAAGGAATACCAAGCCTAAGAGGAGTAGTTATTGAAGAATACTAGTTCTAAAGGGAATTGTTATTGAAGTTTTTTCTAGTTCTAGTCTGATTAGGAATAGCTTTGTTATTCACGAATCTGTTAGGAGTAGCTACTATAAATAGGGGTTGTCCTTTATTGTAGAACTCAAGCATTCAACATTAATCTTGTGAGGTACGAGAGTCTTTGAGAATAGGATACTAAATTCCCCTAGAAAGTAGTACATGTGTTTAGGTTTCAATAGTTTGGTAGGAAAGATCATTCTATTGTGTAATCTCAGGTTCCAAACAGTGTACTTTAAATATTGAACTTTTAGTGGATTTAGGCAAGTTCTCAAATTGAGAAGTGCCTCGCAGATTAGGGTTGTTTGCCCGAACTGCGTTACAGATCGTTTGTGTTACAACTTACATTTCAACATCACTGTGTGTGTCGATCCTTAAAATTCTACAGCTATCAATACAAAAGCTAGTATACTAATATATTT